AGGCATAACAAAGCCTATATGATCGTGCATAACTATGTGCGGGCAACAATGCCTTTCCGAGAGCACTACTTGAATCACATCAAGGTCGGCCACATTTTTCTTTCGACTAAATTTGGTTTACAGGAAGTAGTAATCTGGTTTTTTTTTAATCTTACTTTAGGCTTGTTTCCATGCCAGGAATCAGGCACACGTATATCTCGAAATGACGTATGTAACGGACGGTACGAATGCGACAGTTATGTCGATGAGATATCATGTGGTAAGTTACAACAGCATTCTCTAGAAAGAAACTTTAAAGAAAACAAGTATATAAATAAAGTGCAGTAAAACCTGTCTATAGCGACCGCCCAAGGGAAACACAGAAATCGGCCTTTGTAGACAGGTGGTCTCTATAGACAGGTTCCTCAAGTACATGTTTCGATGAGAAACCATTTTCAAGGGAAACAAAAAATATGGTCCTTGTTGACAGGTGGTCTTTGTAGACAGGTGGTCACTACAGCAGGTTTGACTGTACTCATCAATATATTTGATGAGGACAAAGTATGTGGACAAGATTTCGAACCCCATTATGATTAGACCCAGTCAGTGGCGAGGATAATGGCACCTGGGGAAAATAATGAAATTACGCTTTTTTACAAGAGAGGGAGTAGATCGACAGAGCTGTAAATATTTTGTATATTTAACCCTAACAATGCAACTGTTATGATATTTACTAAAGAAAATGTGCAAGGAATTCAATCAGGTTACTGCTCTTATAAATGTTTCGTATTACGACATGGAATGCAATATATGTTGATGTATTTCATTTACTTAAAACAATATACGGAGGAGCAGTTTGTCATTATACACTAGTACAACAAAATAATCAAACAGAGAAAAAAAAGGAGGGGAAGAAGTAGAAGACGAAGAAGAAGAAGAAGAGTGAGGAGAGGGAAGACAATTTTTAGGAAAACAAATATATGTGCATGTGGATATACAAATAGGATGTTGGAGGTAAAGAGAATGAAATTTTTTCATCAAATTTAGGAGAATGTAATGTTTTGATTCTGACATGATTTGTTCGGATTTCATAGATCGTTCACCAATCACCATCAGAGAAGATGAATCTTATGCCATCTCAAATTTGGAGCTGCATGAACGGGGATATCACGTCTTCCTTTTACAAACCAACTCATCCTATGGATTCCACATCAAGTTTCAACATATCTTTCTTGACTGTTGTGATATGCGTGTTAAGATCCGGACTTGGACTGATCCATCTGATGACGCGTCCGTAGTAAGGGCCATAGAGGATTACACAAATTATGTTGATGAGTTTTACGTGAGAACGAGCCACATGTGGCTGGTCATGACAGGTGGAAAAAACTTAAATGTTGGTCATGTCGATATCATTGTCACTGCAATTCTTGTTTCTGGTGAGTATAGCACATACTCTAATAACAATAGCTAATTACACTTTAGTTTACATTTTTATTTCAGTCTATATCACATCACTTCATGACTTATCATGCCCGATAGAAGAAAAAAATATATCATACAGGAGCATAACACAAAATCTGGATTGGAATATTAGTAATGAGTAGGGCTTATGCAGAAATATTCACTTAAGAGAAAATAAAATGCACTCTTCTCTCCATGAAGACAACTTCATGAAAACACGAAAGCAAGAAAAGGAAAAAAGTCAATGCATAAGTATCAATTAAATGTGAACAAATATGCGCCATGTGAGATGCATTATTAAACATAGATTTGCATTTTAAGTGTACCAATTACCTAAAGAAAATAATTTGCATAGCAATAATGTTTAAAATCAACCTCAAATTCGTGTCTGGAATCCTATTGACTAACTGACAGTACTAATGAAGAATTGAGAAAGCGTTCAAACTTGCAATTTCCCTCTATAGAAGGAGTATTTGAAGCTTATAAAATTGATATAGTGTAGCAACATGGAACCCTTGACAAGTGGGGCAAATCACATTTGGTGGATGGTACACTTGAAATAGGATAAAGAGAGTCCGTATTTAATAATTAAGTGTGTCGGCAGTTCCTTCCAAAGTGACTATATTATGGGCAAAGCTGTGTCATTACGTGGAAAGTGATACTAACGACTTTGTCTGGTTAGATAGGAGTACATTAGAGTAATTCATGACGAAAATGGAATAAAAGGAGCTCACGTTAGTGATGACATTAATGCCTAGTAAAAACCAATATTTTTAGAGAGAATTATCCCGTTTTCACATTTTTCAAAGCCTCCATACCTACCTAATGAATATTTGGCCGTATTTTGTGTATGATCATTATTCATTACGACATGTTGGACTGTGCTAATAGTATTCGATTCACGATGATTTAACACACAATACACCATATATTATATGTGTAGTTTTAATTATCTTCTTAATTCAGAAGGTGAATGTCTCACAACACCCTGTCGAAATGGAGGGACCTGTCGTCATCTCGCTGACAACGGTTACCGGTGTGATTGCATTGATCCATTTATTGGGCCGAACTGTGAAATAGGTATGTGTAATCATAGTTATAATAATGATATTAGGGTAAACTTATAGAGCGCACACACCTTCCAGGGACACTCAGTGAGCGAGCTCATTGCAATTAAGGGAGTTTGAAGATATGCTTACTCAGTAAGAATTTCTCAAACGGGGTTGATAGATAGAGTAGTTTAACTACCTAACATTCCAACCATACAATGCAAATTACCGGGTAGAAAGTATGAGTGTTTACAGTGTTGGAGGTTTAGTGAGATAAGAGGCATAACTACAACCTGCCTAGTCCATCGAAAATGCCCGGCCTACCATGAACTTTGAAATTAAAATTTAAGTCATGTATAGTGATATGCTTACAGGTAAAGTATGAGTCCACTTTAATGAAAGAGATTAAAGAGATTGTAGCATTCTTATCAATGAGAAGGATATTTTGTGTGCTTTTTTATAACATGATTCCTATGTCGAAGAGAGATCCGTAGGAATGACAAACGAAAAGAATGTTTGTGAAATGCCTGTTCCAAAGTGATGCGTTTTTGGACCAATTTCTGATTCCTCACTTTCGTGTGGTCCTTTATATTCATACCCCTGCGCAGTTCTTTTCAGAATAATTTTAAGCAACATGTAAATAATCCTTATCATTTCAATGATCAAGAAATCTCGCAATACATAATTATTCTTATGTTCTACGGAATCAACGAACTAATGTAACTCTTTATACAAAGATACAGTATGTCTATTGCTCAACTTTAAATTTAAATAAAAAATGGACGACCACGTGAAGCTCTAGAATTATACCAACAATTTTATTTCCATTTCCCACTCATTACATTGTTCCCTTGTCTGTATTCAGAAAACTAATGTCTATTGCTCAACTTTAAATTTAAATAAAAAGTGGACGACCACGTGAAGCTCTAGAATTATACCCACAATTTTATTTCCATTTCCCACTCATTACATTGTTCCCTTGTCTGTATTCAGAAAACGAATGTCTCGCAACACCCTGTCTAAATGGGGGTACTTGTCAGCTAACTGAAATCGGATACCGATGTGAATGCATTGATCAATTCATCGGGAAGAACTGTGACATAGGTAAGTGGTACAGGTAAAGCGAATTGGGATTTAGGAAGCTTTTTTCACAATAAAGAGACACGTATACTGATATCTAAAAAATTGTTTGTATACACTGTTGGTCATAATGGTGGAATAATTATTTTTTACCCCAATTTATTGAATGATTTTTGACAATAATTTATTCCTAATAAATCTAGATAATAGTATACATTCTCAGATTTTATTGAATGACAATTGGGGAGTGTTTGTTTTGCGTAAGTGCTAAAACCTGTGTGTGCTAGTATGCTTATCAACTAGGGGACCTTCGGAACCTACTCCCCCACACAAACACAAAAACAAAGAAAATGCAATCAATTTTCAATAATTCATTGCATTTTCCCCCCAGTCCCCAACGGGAAAAATTCCTCCGTATGGCCATGCATTATAGTTCAAGGCATGCCCACATAGAAAAAAATTTTATGTTGGGGGTCGGGCCAAAATGCAATGAATTATTGAAAATTTATGGCATTTTCTTTTCTTTTCTTTTTTTTGGGGGGGGGGGGCGTCGACGTACCCTAGCGCCCGCTGTGTACAGTCATGATTCATTGGCTAAGCAATGGCCTCGTTACTGTGAGCCCCCAGGATCAAAACCGTGTGGATGTGCTATATTATTGCCCTTTTATGAGGTATTAATCCCCATTACTGTCAGTTAAGACTTAATGACGTAGGTCCCCTAGTTGATTAGCATACTAGCACACACATGCTTTAGCAGTCACGCAAAACAAACACTCCCCAATTGTCATTCAATAAAATCTGAGAATGTATACTATTATCTAGATCTATTAGGAATAGATCATTGTCAAAATCATTCAATAAAATGGGGTAAAAATAATTATTCCATTATTATGACGAACAGTGTATATGTAATGCTCATGTATGGATATATACATATGTTATTCACAAAGAAACACGACAATCCGAAACTTGAGGCTAATAGTTGATATGTCACATGTTCCTATTGTTATTATCGTTCTATTTTGTTCAAATGTAAGCTTGATGAGCAACTGTACAGCTTTACAGACTTTTGATGACGTCACATCTCACTGTGGGGGCAAGGGGGAGCCAGCGAAATGCGTTGGTATTTTGGTTATATAGCATTTTCCCGAAGGTTCAAAACTCTGATAATGAAAAGGGTGAATAATTCTGAAAGTTATATAGGATTCGTCATTCAAACAAATGAAACAGGGTTCGTAATTCCTAAAATAAAATAGGGTTCATAATTCAACAAAATTAACAGGGTTTATTTTTTTACAAAGATACATTATGTCTATTGCTCAACTTTAAATTCAAATAGAATGGACGACCACGTGAAGCTCTAGAATTATACCCACAATTTTATTTCCATTTCCCACTCATTACATTGTTCCCTTGTTTGTGTTCAGAAAACGAATGTCTCGCAACACCCTGTCTAAATGGTGGTACTTGTCAGATAACTGACATCGGTTACCGATGTGAATGCATTGATCAATTCATCGGGCAGAACTGTGACATAGGTAAGCGTTACATGTAATGCGAATTGGGATTTAGGAAGCTTTTTACACAATAAAGAGACATGCATACTGATATCTACAAATTGTGTTTATATATATATGTAAGGCTCATGTATGGATATTATGTAATTCACAAAGAAACACGACAATCTGAAACTTGAGGCTAATGGTTGATATGTCACATTTTCCTATTGTTATTATCGTTCTATTTTGTTCAAATGTAAGCTTGATGAGCAACTGTACAGCTCTACAGACTTTTGATGACGTCACATCTCACTGTGGGGGCAAGGGGGAGCCAGCGAAATGCGTTGGTATTTTGGTTATATAGCATTTTCCCGAAGGTTCAAAACTCTGATAATGAAAAGGGTGAATAATTCTGAAAGTTATATAGGATTCGTCATTCAAACAAATGAAACAGGGTTCGTAATTCCTAAAATAAAATAGGGTTCATAATTCAACAAAATTAACAGGGTTTATTTTTTTACAAAGATACATTATGTCTATTGCTCAACTTTAAATTCAAATAGAATGGACGACCACGTGAAGCTCTAGAATTATACCCACAATTTTATTTCCATTTCCCACTCATTACATTGTTCCCTTGTTTGTGTTCAGAAAACGAATGTCTCGCAACACCCTGTCTAAATGGTGGTACTTGTCAGATAACTGACATCGGTTACCGATGTGAATGCATTGATCAATTCATCGGGCAGAACTGTGACATAGGTAAGCGTTACATGTAATGCGAATTGGGATTTAGGAAGCTTTTTACACAATAAAGAGACATGCATACTGATATCTACAAATTGTGTTTATATATATATGTAAGGCTCATGTATGGATATTATGTAATTCACAAAGAAACACGACAATCTGAAACTTGAGGCTAATGGTTGATATGTCACATTTTCCTATTGTTATTATCGTTCTATTTTTTTTCAAATGTAAGCTTGATAAGCAGCTCTACAGACTTTTGATGACGTCACATCTCACTGTGGGGGCAAGGGGGAGCCAGCGAAATGCGTTGGTATTTTGGTTATATAGCATTTTACAGAAGGTACAAAACTCAGATAATGAAAAGGGTGAATAATTCTGAAAATTATATAGGATTCGTCATTCAAAAAAATGAAAGATGGTTCGTAATTCCGAAAATAAAATAGGGTTCATAATTCCAAAAAAATAACAGGGTTTATATTTTACAAAGATACAATATGTCTATTGCTTAACTTTGAATTCAAATACAATGGACGACCACGTGGAGCTCTAGAACTATACCCACAATTTTATTTCCATTTCCCACTCATTACATTGTTCCCTTGTCTGTGTTCAGAAAACGAATGTCTCGCAACACCCTGTCAAAATGGAGGTACTTGTCAGCTAACTGAAATCGGTTACCAGTGTATTTGCTCGGGTCCATTCATCGGCCAGAACTGTGAAATAGGTAAGCGTTACAGGTAAAGCGAATTGGGATTTAGGAAGCATTTCCCCAATACGGAGACACGTATACTGATGTGTATAAATTGTGTATGTATGTATGTAACGGTCATGTATGTATATATATACATATGTAATTCGCAAACAAACACGAAAATCTTAATCTTGAGGCTAATAGTTCATATGTCACATTTTCCTATTATCATTATCATTCTGTTTCTTTTCAAATGTAAGCTTTTTTAAAATTAGATTTAGCAGCTCTACAGCTCTGCAGATTTTGAACGACGTCACATCTTACTGTGGGAGCCAGCGAAATGCGTTGGTATTTTGGTTACATCTCATTTCCCCGAAGGTTCAAAACTCTGGTAATGAACAGGGTGAACAATTCTCAAAATTATATAGGATTTGTCACTCAAAAAATGACACAGGGTTCATAATTACGAAAATAAAATAGGGTTCATAACTCCAAAAAATTAACATGGTTCATATTTCTGAGGGTTCATAAGTCCGAAAATGTGATAGAACCCTGTTTCGTTTATGGAAATACGAGCCTTCGGGATATTAAAAAACTGCAAATATTCAGTGGTAAGTTCCATGCTACTACAAATTGATTTAAACTAAATTTTGACAGATAACACCGATCCTTGCACCCAACAAAACCTGTGTGCCAATGGTGTCTGCAGTCCAATCGGACAAGGACAGTACGAGTGTGAATGCCAAGATCATTATGAGGGGATCCATTGTGAAGAATCGACTCGTAAGTCATACGTTTGGATTTACTTATGTCTTTGAAATATTATATTACGTTGTGCAAATCCATGATTCACATCGTTTCGTAAAACGGGTGAAGTGTAACTAAAATTTGGAAAGTGATTTGACTCAATGTTTTATCCCAGAAATGATGAACCACCTTTCCATTTCTGAATAAGTAAATCAAATGTCTTTTTATCATCTATGGATATGAAATAAAATGTCAATGTTGTTGGGGTGAGGGGGGAGCTTATATTCATCTGTTGTCGCCATTCATTAATGTACATTTTTCACTATTTATGTTAGGAATTTATTCCTTGAATGCTTTAAGGCCCGTGTGGCAAGTGTAGGGCTCATAATACTTGTTTTTGTTGGTGCCTTGAGCATCCCCCGGTACTTACGTATATATGAATTTAGCTGCTCTTATTATCCTTATTACTATTTTATTATAATGAGTAGCAGATAAAGTAGTATTAGTAGTTGTAGTAGTAGTAGTAGTAGTAGTAGTAGTAGGATATTAGTATTAATTCTTATGTTTATGAATATTATCAATATAATTATTGTTATTATTATTAATATTATTGTTATCATAATTATTTGTATTGTTTTGTTATTGTTATTTTCATTCCTCTTCTTCTCCTTCTTCTCCTCCTTATCATTGCTGTTAGTATTGATATTATTTTTATCATTACTATTGTCATGATTTTCATCATCATTATTGATAATGATAACCTCATTCGCTGTCATTTTCTTATTCCTCCCTGGAATACAGTCCCTATGGAGATTTCTGTGCATCCGTCAAGCCAGATAGTCAACATCAATGCCAACGTGGAGCTGACATGTGGTTTCAACAATGCCAAGCGATACCACTGGTACAAAGATGATGTCCTTTTGCCCAACAGAGAAAATCAGAATCCTTTGATAATCCTGTCTGTCGCGCCCAGTGACATCGGGTATTACTTTTGTCGAGGCTCAGGGAGAAATGGAGAAACTTTAGACACGATGCGAGCATCTGTATATGTCAAAGGTAAAGATTTTAAATTAGGCCAACCATAGACAAATAACAAAACTTAGGGATTGTGTGTAGCCTATAATCAAGGCGACCTGTATCATTAATCATGCTTTCATGTCTGCCCTTGAAACGCGTGGAATATCCTGGTGATTGCGAAAAGTTTTATGCGGGATAAATAAATCTAGCAGGCCTACGTTATTAAAGACTGACATATTCTAAGTATTAAACCAAAGTATTATATGCCTGAGTAAATTTGCATTTATCCCAAACTTTGCAAAGAATGAATGAATTATTAATTCAAAATTAATATATGTTGATTTTATTTCAGATCAACGTTAGCAAAATTTGTCTTTATGAAACTTCGGATGAAAAAAGCAACTTAATATATATATATATATATATAATACAAAATGCATTTTTGTTCATGCAATTATGTTTTTAATATATACATTTTCTTATGCTTTACGTGAAAATGTGACATTTATACCGATATTACGATCACAATAGAGACATACTATGACTTAACACAAATCAAACATGATTTTACCAGGTACATTATGTAAAAAGTAAAAAGTATGTTTGCATTTCAGATCTGACAAATATTCAAGTTTTGAATGCTAGATTTGCAATTTCATTCCGCGACGAGCTTCATGACAAAACTTCCAAACTCTTTACAGACACGGCGTTCAACATCAGCACCTATGTAAGTATATTCTAAAATTATTTGGTTCATATCTGTGAGACCTATCCCATTCTTGTGATATTCTGCAAGGCAATGCCTAATATTGTTTTGGGTTTAAACCGTACAATTTCTAGAATGCAAGTAAATTTTGAAAAAAGTGTCCTAGCAGAATTGGGAAAGGCTGATAGCACATGCATGTAGCATGAACATTTTGAGCTTCTCCCACTCATGCATGACTAGCAACTTTGAAAACATTGTTCGTAGTTTCAACCAAACATGACTCAGTAATGCTTCTTTAAACTACATTCATGTAATTTGGTCAGAGATGCGCGAGACACATCTAGTTTTACCATAAGTTTAACTTACTTTACATACAGTGGGTTTTCGGTTATGACGTATACTTTAAGAAGTTACAGGATATGAGTCTTAAAAAGGGAAATATCTAATATACGTTTTACCTTTTCTGTTTGTTGTTTTTTTACCTGTGTAAAGGTGGCGCACGGCCTCCGAACTAGTACTGGATTGGAGAGCCTATCAGTAGTATGCAGAGCCCTTAGACCAGGAAGCGTCAAAGCTGACATGAATATCTACATCGAGCGGACCAATATGACGGCACTGGAGACACAAGATCTTATCGGTCTTTCCCTTGAGAGTCTAGCCAATGAATCGAATGGTTTCCTCGATTCCAACACCATTTTAGTTCAAGATAACGGTATCGAGTTCAGTCATATATATTTAGTATGTTTTAAAGGACGTGTGATAGAGAGATGGCGGGTTGGGGACGCGAAAAACCAGGGGTCATAACGTATTTTGTTTGCATTTGTGTTATTACTCATTGCAAGCATTTATTTTGCATGGACCTTTAAAATAGAGGGGGTAGAGCAGCTGCTATGCTGGATACGCCACGAAGCGGGTCGTCTGGCATTGGTACGCTAGATAATTTGAAACGCAAGATTTATTAAACATACATGTGCGTGTGTACAAACGGGTCATTAATAGTTTTATCTGATAAAGCACTCCTTCATTCAGTGTCTCTGCATTGAATTCATTTAAGAAAGAAACGGGGGAGGTAACAAAGTATCATTCTTGTTTATAATTATCAAATTCTCTGTATTGAACGGAATCCTCAACGTGCAGAAACGTGCGACTTTTTATGGCCAAGAAGGCGAGAGGGCGAGTGCTTAAAGACGCCAAGTCCCCATGCTTAATACGAGAAGACACGAAGGCTAGTAGCTAAAACTAGCTAAGGCACATTGTTTAGGTCGAGAAGGCGACAATTCTAAAGCAGGGCTCCCACTTAGCCGAGTTGGAGCCTCGAGTTGTGGCGAGCTGGCGCGATCTTATGGCAAGCCGTTTTATCATTAAAACATATTTCTTGATATCAAGAAATGATTTTACGTTGTAAAGCAATGGTAATTCTTTATATCAAGAATTGAATTCATATATCAAGAATTCGATTTCGTGATATCAAGAAATGTGTTTTAATGATAAAACTGCTTGCCATAAGATCGCGCCAGCTCGCCAAAACTCGTGCTCCAACTCGGTTAAGTGGGAGCCCTGCTTTAATCATGGTGCCTCGGCGAGTTAAGCAAGTTGCCTTCTCGCTGCACGTTTAAGCATCCTTTACATTGGGCACCCCTTGGTGAAAAATAATATTTTCACAAATCTCAGCAATCATTTTATTGTAGATAAACAAACAAACATTGAATTTAATTTCGATCACGCCTTTCTTCTTTTAAATGCTTTGTTATTCTTTCTTTTTGTGAAGCTATTTGCCAGAATATCTCATGGATTTCTCCTCGCTTTGAAAGAGTCGAATTTCCGGTGGGTGAAAACGGAACTTGGGCAAATTCAACAGGAATGTGTCCATTCAACACTACTCAAGGTTAGTTTTCATTTTCTGTAATTTATTTTAATTCGAGGAAGTAGACTGGAGATTAGGTTGTCAAGAACGACCAATATGACAATTTCCCCAAAGTTTTGTTCAGATATGTCGCGATAAACCGCCGCAAAAAAGCCTACCGGTTTCTTTTTAATGTAAAGTTTTAATGAATATCAACTGCTTGCAACAAATGACTTGGGCGTATTAACTTATCTCTGTGTCAAAAGATGTAGAAAGGTGAAGCGTATAACACGTCATGCCATCATTAAAAACAAAAACCACCGCTGTTTTGCCTCGTCATATCTGAACAGGCCTTTAGGCTTGCAAAAAGGCTCAATATTATGAGCGACATTGAAGCTTTATATCTATATAAAACGCAAATTCCGTTTACACATTTGTGAAAGTCGAATGATAAAAGACTCACTTACTGGCCATATTATTTCCAGAACAGCCTAAGAATCATGATGGTCAACCGACTAGCGAATCAAGAAGGGGGCTTGGAGGCTCAAAGCCCTCTCTAATTATGTTAAAGCCCCCAAACTGCTTGAACAAAACTGATTTTGAGCGAGGCACACGTGGATATTAAATGCAGGAACCCCAAGCCTCCTGCCCTCCGACCCAAATTAAAATTGTAGATTCGCCAATGTTGTTGGATGTGTTGAATATTCCAGAGTCATGAATTATTTGGAAAAACTCTCAATCATAGACAGAACTGCTATACTTTATTTATGTTTCCTCTTTGCTTTGCATATGACTGTTTGCCAGTGTTTTATGGATATTTTTTTTCGTTTTTTTTTTTAATACCGAACAGCAAATGAACCCATTGGACGGGCTCTCTGTATCGGCGATGGTATTACCCAGAGCCAGTGGCAACCCGTGGATAATTGCGGCCCATTTAGAAATGTCACAGATATACTCACCGAAATTGCACAGGTTTTGTTTTATTTTCTTTACTAATCTGATCATTTTTGTAATACCTCCAAATAGTATGTAACGCAATTGTGTTTAGTATATTGTACGTACCACTGACCCTTCAAACCCGAAAAAGGGATTGGTATTTTTTTTTTGTTAACAGATAAATATAGAACGACTTATCATTTTGTAGATTTTACCCGATTTGGTTTATTTTTTTACCCAGTATTGTGTACAATTTTACACAATATAAATTGATCTTCCCTTCTTAATCGACTTTTTGGAGTGTATTCCTACTTTTCATTTGTAAGCCATAAAATCATGGCTGACGGGTATTGAATAGCTCACAGTTCATCAATCCTACTGATTGTTTTAATGTCATTCCATTCACAATCGCTTTGGATAACTTTTAGACAAGGTGGCAACAAATTCACTGACATATTCATTGGCAGTGTTAGAATAACATCACTTGCAACAGGCCTACGTATCTTCATTTTTTAACTGTTTGTTAAGGCTTTGAAATCTGGAAAAAAAGTTGAAATAATAAAATTTTATCAAATGATTGCATTTATAAGATGTTGGTCTGTTTAAAATTCTTTAACAACCTTAGGCGGTTATCTACCGGTTCATGAGTTGTGAAATTAGGTATGACACTATTTTTCTTTTATAATAAAGGTGGTTTACGGAATAATGAACCTAACATGTAACATTGCAATATAAGTGTAACATATTCGCAACTTTTGTATAACCTTAACAGATCACCTAAAATATACATGCTGTAAGATATTTCCCCTCAAACTTTAGGTAATCGTAAGTGAAGAAAATGCAGACGAAGTGAGCCAGCAAGTATCATCTGTTACTTCCAACATCGAAGATATCACATCAGATGACGTCACGTTTGTGGCAGAGATAACATCAAACATTGTGCAGCAAAATCTTACAAGTGAAGAGGTATTTTCAACATGCCAGACTAATCATATTGAACATTAAGTTGCGATGGATGATTAATTTTATCATGTTCCGATGATTATCGAAAGGGAAAAAGATTGGAGTTTCCCCTCCGATGAATGAATAACATTGTCATAGATGTGAAAGAGGTGAATCTCATAATCGGTTTTAACAATATTGGAAGCCTCAAAGCTAAAGTTCTGTGAATGAAAATTTACTTGAGCATAACCCTGTATCTGGCTCTTTTTGGAAATTTTGAATTATAGTTAATTGGTTCTATTTCAGGTTAAAGTATGTCATTGTCCTTTCATATCTCTCCTTGGCGGTTGCTTCTTGCAGAGATTGTGCAATAACTTCAAATAACAGCTGTGTTAAGGCTGTCATGTTATTATACACTATCGTCATCCAGTTTGATTTCCGAGTTTTAGAAACCTTACCCTACTATAGTTTAAATAATCTCCATCTTTTGTGTTTAATTTGACAGGTAACAGAGTCCATTGCCAATATTGCGAGCAATATAGCTGAGGTAGAAGCAGAGGTACTTGAAGCCGCTGAGGAAGAAGGTGGGGCAATAAGTAAATTTGTCCAGGCTTTTGAGGAACAAATCAGTCGTGTTGAGGTTACCGATGGTGGGATGCTCAACATTCAGCAGCCAAATATAGCCGTGCAGGTGATATTAGTTTATATTTTGGCCTTGAACAAATAATTTGACTTAAACTAGGATACTAACATATACAATTATTTACAAGCTAAAGTCTATGTTAAAATGTATGTAATTGTTTGCATTGAGCTCAAATTAAAGAATCTGCATTAACCACAAAGAACTTGAGAAGATTGAACTTATAACATTGAGAGCGACAAATGTTTATATGCCAATTCAGATAGGCGAGTATGTAGATTATTTGTTAATACCTAAACTCATCTGCTACTACGAATCTGTCAAGGGGGGATATTCCACAGCGAAGGTTCCCTCCCTTATTTCCTATTCATAGCTAATAACAATAATATTAAAAAATGATAATGGTAATAATAACGATGTGAATAATAACAGCAATAATAATTATAATGCTGATGATAATGATAATTAAAATGTTGTAAGGTGCTGGATCTACTTTGCATCGCGCAAGGCCCACTCGTGCAAAGAGGAAATCGTCGTAAAGCATCCGCATTATACACAAAAGAATTGAAATAAGATACATACAAAAATAAAATAGGGAACGATTGAAAGTAAACCTACTCAAATTAAAACATTTTGTTACAAGTATTTCGAGGGAGAGCATTCCACAGAGAAAGCCCTGCCTGAGCAATAGTTCCCTTCCTCTACTTATATTTAGCTTGAAGAACAAGTTATCCAGGTTTTCGAGAGCGCAAAAATCTAAAGGGAATAATTGTACTGTGGGACAAAGCCGTGGGCAAATCGAAATAAAGTCAAATAAAATATTGAAGTTTTAATTCACATAACAGGTCCAGAGTGTACCTGCTGATGACGTAAGCCGTGGTCTTGTGCTTTCACTAGCTGGATCGACTCTTTCAGACCTGACCAAGTCCAATATTACTATCAATGCTCCGACCAAAGCTGACCGTGGTGATGTCATTGCTACCAGACCAGACATCATCGCTCAAGTCAGCATTCCACCTTCAGTTTCATCCGTCATTTCGTCCACGGCCCCACTCTCAGGATCGCCGTCGAATGGAAGTGGTGAATACGTCCGGGTCAACTTCAATGTATTTTCAACTCCAGCCCTGTTCATTTCTAAATCATTGCGCACAATCAGTGTAGATAATGAAGGCTTCAATCGATCGGCTAACTCGCCCGTGATTTCTCTCAGTATTGGTCAAGGGAAGGTAGCAGCCTTGACCGAATTCATAAACTTCACCTTCACTACAATAAAGGTAAGACATATAACAATAAAATGGCAGAAAAGGGTTTTACCCGATATATTATACCTACTTGTAATCTGCCTTTAGCAGTATTTATTGAAAATTAAATTCAAAGACATTCATATTTTGGTTAAAACTTAAGCATTATATGTATTTCAAGCCATTTTTGTTTATTAAAACTCCTGTGTTTGATTCTCCTCATAAATTGGTTTAGAAACGTATCAATCTAAATCATTGATCCTTCTTCTCTCATGCTTTATCTAACAAAATTAACTCTGGGTCTATCCTTCTTATTTTTTGTTACTTTTGTTATTTTGTTTTGCTGTTGTATAGTCTGGATACGTGAATCCCAAGTGTTCATTCTGGGATGAGGAGGAGGAAGATTGGTCCGAGGATGGATGTGTTCTTGTTTCTGGATTTGCATCATCTGATGAGCGCTATGACGAAGAGGGCGTTCGCTGTGCGTGTGATCACCTTACCAACTTCGCTGTTATAATGGTCAGTGAAAAGCAATTAGGCAGTTGCTATTACTCCCCAGACAATTTTCCCGGAGAACTGTACCCCGACTTACTAAACGCACTAGGTTACTAGAGCTATAATCCTCATAATGACAAAGGGGTCTAGTTGGTCCTACGGATTAAATGATATGGTCTATGTACTTTAAAGTGGGACACAGTATATCTTATTCCAGCTGTAATGAAAATGGACACGGCTACTACAGTAGTTTCTTTCCAGACTGGTGATAAATATACTACCAGTTATTTGTGGATGAGCGGTCATCATCCAACCTCTAGAAGTTCCCATTTCACTTCCAAATAACAATACAGTTTACAGTTGGTCTACAATTGGGTATAAATATTAATCTCTCTCTTGAGATCAAATAAAGTTTGAAGTTATGGACTCTTATGTGAGAGGTAGTAAAGTGATATCCTTTTCCCTTTTCCATTAGTAATGTGAAGTTTCACCCCTTTCTATTAAAATAAACCCCGAATTTATCGGCTCTCAATTAACCACACTGAGAGTTTTGGAGAGCTTATTTCAAACAATCAGTTTCATTTGAGCATTCGAAGAAGATATATTAGTTTGGCTCAATTGTTTTCATGTTACAGGATATCCATAGACAGGAGCCATCAATCAAAGCATACAACATTCTGACTTACATCGGATGCTCTATTTCTATCTTCAGTCTTCTTGTCACATTGGCAACCTACCTGTGGAACAGGTGAGCTCATTTGAAGGAAAAAAGCTTTCGAACAAAGAATGGTTATATAGACTATAAAAGAGATGCAGTTTTAGAATTTATTAGACAATCATGCAAATTGAAATATGCCCCTTTTGTATTAAATTATCTATTATTTACACCATCATGACATACGTGTAAACCTGCAGCAAAGTTCTGTTAGGTATCACTTCTTTTTAAACCAGCAGAGCTGTTAACTGCATGCGAACTACTACCAACAATGTACAGTTCGTGATAGAAAGGGGAAGAGGCGGAGAGGAGGAGGGGCAGAAGAAGAAGAAAAAGAGAAACAGCCATAATATGATTAGTTGCTTAGTGATGTAAGGGTTGTGCCCGGTGACGAGGGTAGTAAATAGATTACAATATATTTATTTGTTAAATCATATCAATATAGTAAATAGATATTATATCAACTTCATAGATCAAATCTCCGACATCATGATGTGCAGCTTGTACAGTGCGTCCCAGAATAAACGAAACCGAGAAGTATCGATGTTTTATCATAACTTAATCACAACCATAATTAATGAATGATACATATTTGGAAAGCTTAGAATCTCCTCTTTTAGTTGATGCTACTCATGTGATGCATATTTTACGCATGAGTGATTAAAAGCAATTTGAAGGAAGGAAACCAAAAAGTAATTTGGCGGGTGGTATCTGAATTTCAAAGAAAAAAAATCATATTTCTAGAAAGGTCATTTTCTGCACTGTCATTTGATACCTCAATTAAGAAAAATGAGCCAGGAATAACAAAGTTCTGTTTGTTTAAAGTAGCCCTTACATTTTCATAATTTTAACAAACGAATTCGTTTTCACTGGGTGCCTGCCGTAGCAAAAAGCAGATTTGACAAAAGACTTAACTCCGTTTCGTTGACAATCAGCCATACATGAAGACTCTCGTCTACGGCTGATTGTCAACGAAACGGAGTTAAGTCTTTTGTTAATTTCGTTTATTGATACGGCAGGCAGCCAGTGAAAACGAATTCGTTTGATAAAATTATGGAAATGCAAGCACTACTTTAAACAAACAGAACTTTGTCATTCCTCGCTCAATTTTCCTGATTGAGGTGTCATAAGAAAGGGCAGAAACTCTACTTTCTAGAAATGTGAATTTTTCTTCAAAATTCAGATACCGCCCGCCAAATGTCTTTTTGGTTTCCTTCCTTTAAATTGCTTTTAATCACTCCTGCGTAAAATATGCACTATCTGAGTAGCATCACATGAAAGAGGAGACTCTAAGCTTTCCAAATATGTATCATTCATTAATTATAGTTGTGATAAAGTTATGATAGAACATCGATACTTCTCGGTTTCGTTTTTTCTGGGACGCACTGTATAGAGTAGGACTCATAGTCATTTTCAAAACCTTTGGCGTATTTTTTCTTCTCATTTGACATCGCCGTGAATAGTTACAGCCGGGATGATTTCATTCAACATGCGTCGCCATTCGAAGGGTTTGTGCCCAGTAATAGAAGACATATTTAAGTAGAGCACAATCCAGTAATCTCCTTCATTTCACACACATTTACCACCTATTTTTGTTCTTTGTTGTTTACGTTGTGTGACCTTTCTATCCTTCTGTGATGCTGATAAAGTTATGGTAATTCTGTATATGCATGGTATAGTTTTGCTTCGACGCCTTCCTAACCTAATTTTAATGTAAAAATCTTGATAGGGATTTGAGGACCAAACAGACTAACCAGATCTTCATCTGTCTGTGCCTGACCTTGCTGTGTCTCTACACGACATTTGTCATCATGATCTCTCTGGATTCTCGTGAGGTCCAAGCTGGACCCTGCGGGTTCCTGACGGCCCTAGTTCAATACTTCGTGTTGTCCTCCATTGCATGGATGGGTGTGGAAGGGTACAACACCTACCTCATCATTGTGAAGATCTTTAACACCTACATCCAGAATTTCATGATCAAGGCTTTCTTAGCTGCATGGGGTAAGATATATGTTTCCTTAAATATATTTTTTTCTTGGAAAAGTGCGTACCATTAACATGAAGTGTATGTATGTTTTTTTTACATACATATAAATGTCTCTAGATCAGAAACCTTCGCCCGACTTGTTTGTACTTATACCTGTAGGTACTGAAAGTATCCATAAAGCAGTGAGTTTGACAAGGTGCAACAACCTGCTTTAATTCCTGAATCAACCTTCCGCAATCAAAATGAAGATAAATGGGCGATCAAAGGAAATTATTTTTATATTAATATAACAAACGAAATTTTAATTTTCCTTCTTTTGTTATTGAGCAAAATAGTTCAACACGCTAGCAAAATACATTCACTTAGCCATACTAACTGAATGGACATTAGTTATGGGGAAATCACATTAGGACGGGCTATAGTCCTACAGGCATCAACTAATAATGCACATAAATTCGCCATTTTTGCCATTTATGTGTAATTCGTCATTATTATTATTACGCGGCAATCGGCGTAGCATGTGATTTGTACAAACAAGAGTTTAATAATCGAGATATCTAATTCTTTAAAAAAATAATCATAGTGTCGCCATAACCGTGGAAAAAACAACTTAGAACATAGAACGAGAACATGAGTAGGCATAACAAAGTAACGAGGAAAGCATTAATATAGGCCATTGTCCAATCAGGGGTGATAGTGAGCACTAAAAAAAAATAGGTTTTTTTGTTTTCCCCTCAACCACGCTCCCTACAGTAAAAAAAGAAAGAAGAGGATTCGCGGGGAAAAAATGGCTGTAGCAACATTCCCCCTTTCGAGTAAGAAAATTGGGGGGAAAATTGGGCAAAATAGGGAAGAATAGAGAAAATAAGGGGGGAATCTGGAAAATAAGGATAAAACAGGGAAAGAAAAAAAAATCTGGTAAAAAAAAAAAAAGGATTTTTTTTTTTTTTTTTTTTTTTTTTTTTAATTTTTTTTTTTTAAATCGGGAAGAAAAAAATCGGGAAAAAATCGGATAAATATATTAACAAAATCGGGTTTTTATCAGGCCTGTCCAATATATGCATATTATGAATGACTACAAAATGCATTTTCTCATACACGTATCTCATTTCAGGAATTCCTGCTTTCATCGTGGTTCTTACCGGAGCTATTGCTAGAGACTCTTATGCTCATGATGATCTGTAAGTGGTAATACTTAATAAAAGTTTAGCTGGAATATTGGATTGCATAAAATACGGTATACCTAATGATCTTCAAATTCAGATTCAGAAAAATCATGTTTCTGTTATTTAATCTAGATTATAGGCATTTTCTATTGTGGTATCTCATGAGTTAGCAAGTATGCAATGATGATCTCGAATTTCTATCTAAGTATCACTTTCGCGGTCATGTGGTGTGATCCAAGCTCTAGAAAGGCCACCAATTGAATACAGTAAACACACATACTCAAATCTCAGATGTTGTTGGTAACGGATTGGACAACAAAGCTTGGACTTGCCAAAATAAATAATGGGAAATACTGTACAATGAAAGTTCTTCTGTTAAAATGTTGGAAAGACCATGGACATTTCTTTTAACTATCGCTAAAATAGCCAGTATTGAGTGATTTAATTCAGTCACTTTACAAAATGCATATTTACCATCAACAGATGCTTTCTACAATTCTGGGCTCAAATCGGTGGTCTCCTGATTCCCATGTCCATCATTCTCCTCATCAACATTGTCATCTTCATCCTGGTGGTTCGACAATTGATCCGGTCAGCCAACATCGCTGGCCGGGTGAAAAGGGAGGCTAAGGAAGAACGCCGAGAGACTATCGTACGCGTCCAGAACGCGATCTGCATCTTGCTTCTGCTCGGTCTGACCTGGGTCACCGGATATCTTCTTCTGATCCCGTCATTCAGTCAGGTAAAGACAACTAGCTTCATAAATAACTCCTGTGTGGTGTCTATCTCTTCTAAGAAATATTATGAGAACTCAGTTATGATATTAACATACACCAAAATACCTCTTAAGATGTTTAGTATCTAAAGAACATTCGTAGTAGGTCCATGATGCCATATACCGAATTATTAATTCTGAAACATTTGTGTTTAACAGGTGGCTCAGCCAATCTTTGTCGTCCTTAACTCCTTCCAAGGATTTTTCATCTTTCTACTGTACTGCGTCCGGAAGCCTCACATCCGTAAGAAATGGGGGCTAACTTGTTTCGACAAGTTCCTAAAGAGAGAAGCAAGCACTTCCAGCGGTGTGGTTAGCTCGACGGCGCTATCCTCGACAGCTGGCATGATAAGCAAATTGCGCCCAGGAGCCAGGGGTAGTTACATGTTGACTACCAAAGACGACAATCCAGACCCTATGTATACCTTCAATCCAACATTTGATGTTAGCCAAGTTGAAGAAGGAGTCACACCACCTATGAACAGATATATCCAAAGTTCCACCGAGGAACAGAACAAGGACACGGATCGTGATGCAACAAGCACTGATGTCGTGACGGTAAGTCTCCCTCTTGATGCATCTGTCACAAAATCCACTAAGAGAGGCGATGACGTTTCCTCATACATGAATGCTGACACCCTCAGTGTTACTCTAGATTCAACTGATGTCAAGAAGGCTACTGAGGGCACCGATGATGTTGCTACCACCAACAATGATGCTGTCGTCGGTCTTCCTGATGATGCTGCAGATGGCACCATTCACAATGAGAGGATTGATGATGATGCTTCTGCAACAAGTGATGCTGCTGTCAACTTTCCTATTGATTCAACGGACTTCAGCAAAGAAATTTAGAGCAAAGGCATAGATGCCAGTGGTACAACTGATTTTGCAAACGGCCACGGGCACAGTAGAGGTTTTGACTATAGCGATGCATTTATTCCTACTGACTAAAAAAATAGCTTATTCATGTAAATCGCAAGAAAGTCTCATGTAGATAGAATGATCTTATATTGGCATACTAGGCAGAGGTGGGCTGGGCTGGGCGTCAGCTGAACCTTCCCCGACCATTTTGCGCTTACCGATATTCCGTCACCACATATTCAGGAACTATCTGTTCAATTTGTTATATGTTATCATCTTTATTTTAGTTTAATGACGAAATTATATATCTACGTTAATATATGGTAGCTTTAATATCAAAGTACTCGTGATATAATATGTTTTGCTGTATAAATGATACTTTGTGGTGTATTCCATAGAAAGAAGGTTTTTTATTTGTTGAAAAGTATATAATAAGATGGTGATGGTGCGATGATTTTTGTTCAATTCTTTTTAGTAATTTTTAGTCATGACATGTTAAATGTATATATAGTGCAACAAATTGAAGTTACCAAATTGCTGTACTTTTTTATGTTCATGTAAAGGTTGACAAAACTGTTTCCATGAATTGGGTCACTGGCTGAGAACGCCAATGCCTTAACCAATAAATCACAGACACATGCCAGTGGCTTTGGCAACACACAGATTCAATTGACAGACAAATTGACTAATCTCCTTCATTTATTAATTTCTTCGTTGAGGGCAGGCTAGTTTTGAAAAAAATAAAAAGCCGTGTGACTTAGCTCGATCAAAGCGAATGTTTTCAGATACACGTTTAATTTAGAATAATTGGAAACAGACGTAAGGAAATAACATATACAACCGCTTTGGCAAATCATTTTGAAAAATACATACTCTGGAATATGTAAATATATGTTTGTATATTGTTGTATATATAAATACATCGAATTCATTGAATCGAGGCCTAAGATTCAGTTTTACAATTAACAGATTTAAATCGATGTACATAAAAAGTATTTTTCAAAGAATGATATCCATGGCTGAGTAGATACTTGTCTATCCCTTTGTTCTTTAACTTTTATTTCATTCTTTCTTATTTTTCGCTACTTTACATCCTTTCTGCAAAACCTTATATATATGTTGTGTATTTACGTTGGTGTGCTTGTATTATGCAAGTCTTTTACATTTTATTAATTATGTTCATTTTTTTGTTCGTGTTTGTTAAAGGTTCTATGTCCCATTTGCAGGCCAAAAAATGAAAAAGTTAAATTCCAACTGCAATTGAAAGATAATACTAATTTAGAACTTCCCTAAAAAAGGTGGGGCTTGAAAATGTCTTCAAGTGGGAAAATAATGACTATTAGTTGTCAAATCGACTTTAGGGCTATAGAGCCCAAAAGTAATAGTCTTGATTTTCAGACAATATTGTACCGAATGGTCATACGTCTTATGCTGCGCAAAGATTCAATCAGTTTAATCTTGGCCATCACAAGAAGTGGGTTATTGATGTAGACAAATGCTCATGTACCCTTTACAACTCTTTTCATGTATGTTATTACCAAAGAAGAAAAAAGGCCAGTCAGTCACTCAAGTGTCTGACAGTGAAGTCTAGCAAGTAAACGGGTTTCCTTGCATAATTTGAATATGAGGACACTGCTAACGTTTAAATTTCACAAATAGGACATACATGACATATTCATAATTCCTGCAAAGTTCTACAGTATTTGAGGTTGGCTGCAAAAGGGACATAGTACCTTTAAAGGGCCCCAATTACAAGCAGAATCTTGCTTCATAGCGATCATAACCATTATACAGTATATTTTCTTTGTAATTGTAGTTATGAAGGTTAAATATAAATACTTGAATTGAATGTACATATATATATCTTTACAGCGTCATCAGACGGTCATATAAAGTGAAAAAGGAGTCATTAAGTGGAAATGGTCATTAGCAGGATATTTGCGTGTCTGTTTAACGATTGAACAATATAATTAATGCCCTCTGCGTAAGGCCTTCCAAGAAACAACAGGTTTAATCAATAGTCATTAGTTTAATTAGTTATATTGTTTTTAATTTAGGGTTAGTGTAATATAGGGTTATATAAATATATATATATATATGTCATGTTACTACAACATGTAGGATTATATATATATAGAGAGAGAGAGAGAGAAAGAGATACAAAGTAAACTAATTTTTGGCTCAAAGGCAAATTGGTTCAAGACCAGCGTTCTTCAAAACTTGGAAAAGGAGCTACACACTATATATATATATATATATATATATATATATATATATGTATGTATGTATGTATGTGTGTGTGTGTAATCTAGTTATAATAAAGTTTCATGAGCTTCTTAATTTCAAGTATCGTAGTCGAAATTGAAATCACCATAGTTTACTCAGAAAGATGTACCTTTTCCAAGATCATTTTGGTTGTATATGTTACCGATTTTGTTAAAGCATTAACTTCATTGTTCAGAGTGTTCCTGACCAAGGAGACCCAAGTTTATCGTTAAATTACTCAATAATCTTGAATAGTTTCTATGTGCATATAGCAGAAAAACTAATGAGTAAGTAAATGATGTATCTTCATATAGCGATCAAGATTAATTATCTCTAAGCCCTATTCATTATCACTTACACGAATTAATGAGCCTAATCTTATGTAATAAACATGACAGGAACGTATATATAGAAATACAAATGCAAGACAAAAAGACAAATTGTCATGTGACGAAATTAATAATTAAAAGAGAAATTATTTTTCAATGTAATGACTGAGTCCACAGTAGATCTTTAGGCTAGCCTTAAAATAATTCAAACGAAATATGAAAATATCAAGCTTTCTATGATGAGTTTCGATAATTAGTTTTCCCGAATCATTCGTCTTTTCAAAAGAACTATCATTGCCTTGGGATTTTTTTTCTGTCACTGCTACTTTAGACCGTCTGACATCAGCAAAATGTGATTTAATGATCATATTTTTATCGTCATTTGATAGTAAGGAATTTGAGCTTTTCAGTGATGTATATATGAGTGAACAAAATGATTTGGGATTATTGAGTTATTTAGGAATATATACCTGGGTTTCTATTTTCATGGACACCCTGCATCGTAGCTCGTTTTAATTATGGATTGCATTGTTAATTTATAATACAGCTAATACAAAACTTGAACATTTAGAAGATTACTGTAACTATCATTTGTATAATCGTGCGCGACAAGAAATTTGTAAAAGCAAGCTTTTTAATAAAGTAAATGGTGAAATGGGTACTTGGTATTCATACTTGCGTTTCTATTATTTATCATTTTGAATCAGTATTTGCTATTAATATTTCCATTGTAATTAAAAAAATATACGAAATATATATGAAAATAATTATATACAAACTTTACAAAGCTGGCAAAGCTTGTTTACAACAAATATAAAAACAGGAAAACTTGAAAGCAAAGTGATCAATAGCATATCTTAAAACATATCACAACACAAGCCCTCATTGAAAATGGCGGATCACTAATTTATTTCATGCAGTTCATATTAAAGATGTTCATGCATGGGTATATAGTCTTTCGTGAAGTAGGCAACTTGGCGATCACTACATAATACTGATCAAATGGGTATTACACTCACGTGCGTACGTATATGTGTGCTGCCCTCTATATACCCACGAATGAGCAACTTGAAGGTACATACACAGGGATCAGGCATTTGCCCATGACTTTGCATCATAGAGTATCTTTATGTCATCATGTTTTCTGGGCACAAAAAACAACAACAACATATAATAAACTTTATCATAGAGGACAGGAAATCCGACGCATACTGGGGGTGATCATTTTAGACCTTTACTTATTTTGCTAATCAAGTCTACTATTAAAAACAACAAATTACAAGAACGCTTTATAAGAACGTTTATCTTTATCATCAGATAAATTTGATTTCAATTAAGTAATTTCAGTCTTTATCAATTATTCTGTTTACAAAAATATACAAACATTAAAATGAATGCAGAATTATAAGGCGCATTAGGAAATGTATGTGGACAAAGCAGTTTATTAATATCCTTATATTATATTATTATTATTACTAAAGCATTTCAATGGTAAATACAAGGTATATTTAATTAATTTATTCAACAAATTAGAAGAGCCAAAAGGGTCATCATTAAAAGCCAATTGAGGTTGACAGGTTAATTTTAATGATTAAATTCAGAGTATATTTTTTCGCTTGTGTAGTCAGACATAATTGCATTTAGGCAAAAGAAGTATACAAATTCAATTGAGTGATGGATATATGTTTTTTCCTTTTTTAACCAAGACTGGTATAAATAAGCTATCTCTTTTTATACATCCTATTCAAATTTAAATTCCCATAATAATGTTTAAATATGCGAGCGTACATTGCTCTGCTTATTGAAAGGAACACTAATAATGCACATTATCATGATTTTGATGACGACATCTGAACGTAAGTGGGTAGAATGATTGAGTAATATGAACGGCGGTAGAAATAATCAACCCTTTTGAGTAAAACATAATTGTGGTGTATTCTACCAATTCTTATCAATTTCTAGCTTCAAGTCCCTCGAACTGGGCGAGTAATAAGCCCAATATGACCCTGGTTGTCTTGCACGCACGCAGGGCATTACGCTTTGCTGATCAAAATGCTGTTGTTTTTCATATCAACTAAGGTTTTGTTAATGAAAATATGACCTTGTTTCTTTTCTGTGCACCTGGTATATTCAAGCTGATTTTAATTGAAATCAAAGCGATGACAAACAAGATTTGACTTGGGGAAAATAAATTTCTTAATGACCATTCCGTAGACAACTGACATGCCTTTTATTCAATGTTAAATTCTTTAGAGGATACACGTCGTATTATTACAAAAACATAAATAAGTATATGTCAGGAACTAAATATTTGACGGATACAAATGTTAAGTTGCTGTTCTATCGTATTTGAAGAGCCAATTCTTATTCTGCGTTTACTATTATATCCAACTTGAAATGCATGATGGTTTACGAACACATCAATTATTCTTATTCTTGGTTTATTAGCAAACACATTCAAACATTCTGCATTATCGGGATCAATATTGATTAATCAAAACATAAGCTATTAGGAAATTAACTGCGAGACAAAGTCAATCACAAAGTCATACGCCAGAAAAAAAAAGGTTAAAGATATCATGGAGAAAGTCAGAGAATCAAAGTGGAGATGGGCTGGGCATGTAGCAAGACTTCAGGACAACAGATAAACAAATCGTTTAACAGAATGGAAACCAAGGATGGGAAAGAGAAGAAGAGGAAGGCAGAAGAGAAGATGGAGAGATGACCTAACATCATACATGGGAACGGCCGCTTGGATTAGGATAGCTAGAGACAAAAGAGAATGGAAAGGTTAAGAGGGCTTTGTCCAACGTCTGGATGAACTATAGCCTGATAGATAGATAAATAGATATATACAGTATTGTCGAGAAAGTTCGAATGGAATAAGATTGATCTGTATTCACATGAGATGGTAAAAGTCACTAGGGCATTGCAAATAGACTAGACAATCTTGAGCCCGTGACATTCACGTATCTTCACACGTTGAAGGCTCTAGAGTTTCAGTCTAAATAATTCATAACCTCTGATGAGTTAGGTAGAGACGGATTAGTCGCTTATACCAGCTTCCTCCATCATAAAAATATGGAGCCCTAAACCCCTTCATTCTTCTCTACTTATATGCTATACCAATCGACGTATCACAATTTCCATTCCTATTTTATGATAATAATGAGCAGATATAATGTCCAACTATTATCATGATAAAATGTGAAAGTTGTTTAGTGTTACAAATGGTTAATTGCATTCTAGAAAATATAGATATTTCCTGTTCCCATTCAGATTTTTGGAATATGGGCCCTATTTAGTTTTTGGAAATATAAACCTTGCTAACATTTTAGGAATTACGAAAACAATTGCATTATTGGGACGTTGACCTTTGGGATTTAAGACCCTTGGTATAAACAAGCCTGAGGATTGTGGATTTTCGGATTAATTAACCTTCGTATTAACGAATACCCTTCGGAAAATGAACTGTTATAACACAATCGTAATTTGAAAAATCATAAGGAAATTACAAAGCTTTTATTACGATCCCTTTAAGCTACCCAATCCTTCATTTCTGTTTTAGCATATCTGTACAGAATTGTAATTTGCAACTGATAGCTAATTTCATAA